AATATCGTAAACATGTGTTCCCAATAGGCGAAACTATCGAGTAACATACACACCCGAAATCAATACACCCCAATTGGTAATCTTCTTCGTTTTCGAATTCCTTAATAACTCTAAAACTTAACGACAATATCTCTTAGTACGTGAGACATATATTCCCTCCTAATTGTAAAGTATGTCTATAAAATACAAAAGTTATTTCCATACGTGATATGTTATCTTACATTTTCATAGATAACAGTTTATTAAGACTCATTATACTCGTATATAAATATGCACGTCATCGGGTTTTACTTTAGCGATAACAATCATAGATAAGAAAACACTTTTCAAAGTATCTGTTCCTTATTTATATATGAGACCTCTATCAATATTGAATCCACTAACCACTTTAAGAGGCCGTATCGTTATTGTCAACCCGTCGAATATGCGATCCAGTAGTTGGCGGTTCCAACCTCATCCCTGACATCCTCCTCCAATCCTCGTGCTTTGGCAATGCACTTGTGACTTGAGAATGCACTTGTCGCAAGTGCATTGCCGACTTTTGATTTGGCAGTGCCAGAATGGAGGGGGGAGCATATGACTCTATGACAGTTACGAGTACATTAACTATTAGGGCACGTCAATGAAACGCGACAACTAAACTCAGACTGGTTTCGTAGCATAAGTTACCAATAGATATACACCACATTAGCAATGTCATGATAATCAACTGGAAGGTACAGGGGTAAGTCCACTGTTCCGAAAATATAGTTCTGACTATGAACCTTCTCCTATCAAAATATGCTGGAAGAAGCAGCATAATAGTAAGAAATAATAACGAGTTTTGATATTCACTATCTTGCTTGCACATCTTTATCTGTACGAAACACATTAAATATCCATCTTGGGTTTAATTATATCTTATCTATAGTGTGCCAGCAAGAATGAAAACACTTAGTGTTACCACTTGCACCAACTTATCATCGTGAAGTGCATTTATAAACTATGCAATGAGATCTAGATTTTCTAACTCTAAATTATACAAATGTAATACTATTTTCGGTCACGTGAAAAGACTAACTCTGAGCTCGCATGAGAGCTTTGGGATTACCAAAACTGCCTGATAAACCTATTATTGTCAAATAATAGGTTTATCCGCTTTACTATATATTAATTTTCAATTTTCAATCGTATTTGGTTATATAATTATGTCTACCTATAACTTCGGGGATATACCTGAATATATAACAGGTTCCTAAAATCACGTAATTAAATGGTACTCGCAAATTTTTCCCAGTTCACACTGAATGATCACTGAATCATCAATGAATTGTGTAGGTCTGTAATACGACTGGTAATTGAACATTGCGCCGTGTCGTTTTACGTTCGTGAATAACAAAAACAATAAACTGTGTGTCTATGTAAATGATGTAGGTAATTAGGTCTAATTAAACCGGTTATAAATAATTCTGAGTACTGCAGTTTCGTACAATTCACAATAAAATGTTTTTGCGTCTTTTTAATTCGTATCAAGCCGTTCCTCGTAGTATGTGGTCACGTTTATATTTGATGTTCATTCTCATTCTAAGGGATGTAGCACAATATTTTATAGCCTATCATAACCTTACCTTATAAAAATATTTACTCAAATCCATACTAATATTATAAATGCGAAAGTGTGTCTGTCTGTCTTTCTGTCAGTCTGTCTGTCACCTCTTCACGCTTAAACCGCTCAACTGATTTAGATGAAATTTGGTACAGAGATCGTCCGAGGTCCGGGAAAGGACATAGGGTAGTTTATATCCTAGAAATCATCTTTTAAGGGGGTGAAAAGGAGGATGAAAGTTTGTATGGGATATCAATTATCCTAAACCGATTTAGATGAAATGTAGTATGAAGATACTTTGATTCACGTCCTTAGTAAATAGAAACATAATTATTTCCTTGGAAACGGGCGGAAGTAAATCGGCACAGGCCTAAAATGGATCGGATTTACTTTGCTAAATATTTAACAAAAAATATTTTGACTTTGACTTTACACATAAGAAAAATTAATTTTAATGACTCATTGGTAAACTTTTCTAAGACATCGCTCGCATTCTAAACTAATGCAGACTTAGTTAATCATCGTACTCTCTATACAATTATTTGTCCTGGGATCATGGTAGGAATTGCACCTACGACTTCTGGCTCCTCAGCCAGGGTCACTAACCATTAGACCCAAAGCCCAGTCCATCTAGGCAATAAATATCACAGTGAGAACGCAATAATGTAGATTGTCTTTGTAAATATAAAATTAATACTATCATTTGTATGATGGAATAAACGAATAAAAGTTAACTTTCTTCCCGAACCATAAACATAATACCTATTCTTCTTTTAATTACAAAAAGTACGTTTTCTTTAAAAAAAACATCTTGCAACAGGCACTTATGAATGTTCCTGGAACCAATAAAATTAAAAGGGGGTTAAAAATATATAATGTAACACGAAATTTTGTAATGACGAGATACATAACGCTCATATTATTTTACGTAAAATTTACAAAACAAAAATAACACAAAGAGCGCATTAGAATGCTGATTTGCAATTGTCCGTGTTTACACAAATTAATTATATAAACAACTAGACCGTTTAAGGGTCAAAGTCAACATTCAAACCAAAGTCCAATTGCACCACACGATTAGGTAAACAAATAACTGTTTTTACCCGACTGCGCTAGAAGGGGTATGTTTTCGAGTGTATGTAGGTATGTACGAGTAAAATTCTTGGGCGCGCTCTGTACCCTAAAGGGCTTGATCGATTTTGTGTCATTAGAATCGTCTTAATTGTGAGAGTGACTCTGGGTATTTTAAAATTATAAAAAATAAATTCGCCGGTTTGTAAATTCTTCTTTTTAAAAAGACAACTCCCGCATTAGGAATATATCCTGTGTCGCAGGGGACATTACAAACATACATGAAACGGACAGAAAGAACACCCAGACTCAGAACAACAATTTGTGGATCACACAAAGTGTCGTCTCATGTCGGGTTTGAACCCACAACACTTGGCGCAGTAGGAAGCGGCGTGCCGACCGCTTAAACCGCTGCGCCATCCGTGCAGTCGACGAAATTATAATACATTTTTACGCAGTCGGATTTTTTGTAATGTTTGTAATGTTCCCCGCGACACAGGATATATTCCTTATGCGGTGTCTTTTTTAACAAACATAAATAAGTAATAGGCGCATTTTTCGTGACACATGTTAATTTAATTTGTCTTGTAATCAATTTTAAACAACCTTTCACACAGTTCTGCGTGACCCAATAGTTGGCTGGAAAAGAATGCCTACAGAATTAAGTCCACCTTATATGATATACGGGGGCCTGTGGGACTAGTGGATAGTGACCATGACTGCTAAGCCGGAGGTCGTGGGTTCGATTACGACAAATATTGTGTGATAAGCACAACCATTTGTTCTGTGTCTGGGTGTAATTTTTCCAAAAAAAATATGTATGTATATATTTAGAAATACATCAGTATGGTTACCATAGTACAGGCTCTGCCTAGTTTGGGATCAGACTGCCGTGTGGGAGATTTGCGAAGTTATTATAATCTAATATGCAGCAAGTGTAAACGAATAAATAAATATGACAGTTTAGAGAAGAGTGCTATTCGATCCACTTTTTCTGTGCTCTGCTATAGAAGAATTCCCCACCAATTATCTTCATCAATAATAAAAAAGCAAGGTTGACAAAGTTTGTGACATATACTTCGGTATTAGATACGGCACGTCAGATTTCTGTTTAAATTAGAGCCGACTGACTGACACTTCTGCAAGACACTTGTAATTACTTGTCTTGAGTTGCGGCGTGTGCTAGTTTAAAAGTTTTCTAGTCTTAGTATAGTCTAGTATTAGTAGTCTTAGTAAAAAGTCTTATATAAAACCAACACGACGACAAATGAAATCAAATGAATTTAGAATATTTGTTTAGAATTTAATAAAATACGTACATCTTTATCAAAGATACGTACATGAACAAATGAGTATCCCTGACTCATGACCTCAGTTTTAGTACACATATATCAGTGTCTAAAAGAAACAAGGATGTGAAAACAGTATCAAAATATTATTCGTCGGCCTTATCTCTTACAACCTTAGATAAGTGAGGACGTGCTCTGATTTTTTTACTGAACCTTGTTGTCCTCTGTTAAAACTTGATTAAAGATAGATGGATTAAAAAATATAAGTAAGTTTCAGTTAGCCGTAAGATTATAAAACAGTAATAATAACTTAAAACATCGGCCGGCAAACTAGGCAGAGCCTGTACTATGGTAACCAGCCTACTTATGTATTTCTAAATACATACATATTAAAGATAAATTACACCCAGACACAAAACAAATGATCGTTCTCCGCACAAAATTATTTGTCCTATATGGTAATCGAACGCACGACCTTTGGCTTAGCACCAACCACTAGACCAACAGGCCAGATATTGGTGCTAATTATGTTGTTCGGAAACTTTCTAAACTAAACTTAAAATCACTAAAAAAATATTTTGTCCTGTCAAATAACTTCGTTTTCAGAATAGGAATCGTCGTTTACAGGACTTAAGAAATGTCTAGTGATTTTTAGTTTAGTTTAGAGAGTTTTCGAACAACAGAATTAGCACCAAAAACTAACATGCGAATTATTAGATAAACTATTGCATTTGTATAACTTTTTGTACTCTCTTTGTAATTTCTTAACCACTGACCTCGATAAACTGTGATTTGGACTTTGTTTCATGCAGCGTGACACTCGCAGATAACAATCATTCTAACATCAATACGTGGATAAAACTTGCTTTGTCATTGGCGACATTAATTTCTTCGTGTTCCGTGTTCTATTATGAATCGTGTTTCAATCGTACTTGACATTTCACTAATATTACACTGATCTTTAAGATTTACAAACCATTTATGAAGCTAAATGTCGTTATCATTCCTTTGTTGCGGCTCCTTGCATCTATTAACGTCTATTTCTCTCTTTTCAGATGGACAGCAGTTCAGAATCAATGGAGCTTAGACGAGAGTTAGACGCAGTAAGGAACGCATTACAGCAGCAGTCTGAATCTGTTCTGAAGCAGAGACATCAACTTGTAGAGGCTGGACAGGCTCTCGCCGCACATGAAAAGAAGTCGGCACAAGAGAGGCGGCTCAGAAAAGATCAATTAGCGTTAGTCCTTCGGTCGTTGGTGTTACTGGAATCCCGCCTGACCAGGGAACAGAAACAAATACATGTTGCACTCCGGCAGAAAGAGAAAATTATCAAATCACAACAAGAAGAAATTAACAAACTGAAAGCCCGGAAATCCTATTGCAGCAACTGCCAGCAACTGCTCGGCTTTACCAGCGAACAGACCAATATAGAGACCGATCCAGAATTCCAGAGTTTAGAGAGTACTGACTCGAGATTTCAAAATACATTTGTTAGAAGCTGTAGTTATCGCGAAAGAAATTCTCCTCCGGTATTCCAGAAAAATACTAGATTAAGTAAGAGCTTCCAGTACCAGTTGCCAAAGAGTGACATTGCCTATTGCAACACCAGTTCTAGTGAAGAAGGGAATAATGTCAGCCTCAGCAGCAAAGGTACTTTTATTAAAAACAAACAAGCCTTTGTTAGACGAGACGTTTTTAGAAGGTCAAGAAAATACTCTGGAAGAAAGAATAATAAGTATGTGGATAACTCTCCTAAAGTTTATAGTAATCAAGCAAACAATAGCAGCAGTGCTGAAGATTGCATTGGTATGAGCTACCAAGTGAATAATGATGATACTGATATCACCGCTAGTCAAATAGCTAATGATATAAGAAAAGCATCCTTGAAAATTGACCAACTTATTGGAGAAGCTGCAAAGAAAGAGTTTGAAAATACTGCAAGTGATTCTGATAAAACTTATTCTACAAAAATGGAAAAGGTACATGGAGTTAAAAGACAGGCATCTGACGAGATTAAAGCTAACAGACAACTTTTCTTAAATAAAGTTCTTAATGAAGAGAACAATGAGAAGCCTTGGTATTGTAATGTTAGCGACCCGGAGCAAGAAGGGGATTGTTTAGAGCAAAGGTCATTAACTATTAAGGCGAAGTCTAACGAGGATGTTTTGACAGACTTACATGATGCGGACGTAATATCTGCAAAGAATGAAGTATTGTGCAATAATTTAAAAAATAACAATGAAAGATTCAGTGCAAGATTTGATGATAAAAATAATAATATTGAAGAAAACCTTAATAAACAAGCATCTCAGGCCGAAGTCAATGAGAATTGGTATGCCAGTACTAGTGATGCTGATGAAAATCCTACTAATGAAATATACAAAAATAATCCTGTTTTGGAGTGTGTGAATCAAATTTTACTTCAAAATTCTTTAGATGACAGTAGTAATGATAATTCTAAGTCAAGTGAAGCACCCAGTCCAAAATCATCCACGAAGCGAGTGCAATTCTCTACTCTTAATAGCATTTCATACGATGATAAAGTGAGAAAGGATAATACATTACCTAGATCGGATAAAAGAGCAAATAAAATTGTTAAATTCAGTCTAGAGACCGCTTCTGAGCACAGCTACGAAGTACCTAATACCGCTCAAGGTTTTCAGTATGAAATACAAAGCTTGTACAGTAATGAATACGAACCCATAATTACGAAATCAAATGATACCAAGCCTGTGCCATTAATGCGACAAGTGAATGATAAACCAAACATTCCAAAAATAAGAGGCTCTATAGTGAAAAATATCGCTGCTGACATAGAAAATCGTAACCTTAATAACAATAAGAACAACGTTGAAAGAAAGATCGAGAACGATCTTGGGTCGATGAAAATATTTAATAAGAGAAAAGTACCACGAACTCCACCCGCATTACCGCCCAAGCCAAAAAATCTTTCGGCTAAATGGAAAGCCGATAATACTGTGAAAATAATAACAGATGGCATAGACTCTGAAGCCGTTGCGGCTAACCAACGGGTTGCAGATGTTAAGACGAGAAAAGTGGGCCAAGTAGCAACTATAAACAATATTGAGCCTGACTATTGTTCCATTTCAGAGATAAATGTTCCAGTAGTCAGCAACGGAAAGAGGGAGTTGCTACTTACACAGCCAACGGTTGAGATCCACAATGAACAGTACCCAGTTCATGCAGTAAGTCCGCGCAATAGCGTCGCTAAAGTGGTATCCTTACCAAGGATCCAGAACAAGATAAGCGATAAGGACATTCCTAAACTTCCTCAAGTCACCGAGATCATCATTCCCGATGAAGATGACAAGGCGAACGATGAACAAAACCGTTCCTTCCAACAAACTACTGAAAGTTACTTGTCGAACTTTGTTATGCATCCTCTGCAACCAAAATTGGACCCTCGTGCTTCTATACAAATGGGCAACACAGTGTCTTCTATACTATCTGAGATTAACAAAGGCGGTAAGGGTGGCAATAAACATATCAATTTGACCGAACTAGATAATCAGTTCAATCACGGACCTGAGAAGAATCAAATCAATAATGCAGCATTACACAAAGCTGAATATTTCGATGACATGGACAAATTTGATTTGTCTCAGAACTTCGAAGAGTTTAAGATAGACGATGAACTCGGCAGCATAGTTGCAGAGGAATACCGCATCAGCTCCGGCAGCAGTGACGGTTCCGTGTCAGATGTTGTAACTGAAAATCTAACCAATGTACCTGATAAAGAGAAGCAGCATAATACTAATAATAACGACGACAATGGAAAAAATAATAATTTTCTTGAGAGTAACGACAGCACCTTAAACAAAGGTTCTAAGAACGCTAAGTTGTCTAACAAGCCTGATCTCCTATCTAACATAGAGAATTTAGAGACTGAATCTGTAAGGAACTCTGATATAGAGTCCAGCAACTCATCAGGGAGCAACAGTGGTTCCTACAATACCGTGAAGTGCGAACCTAGAATGGTGATGATTAATAATGCTGAGATAAACGCGCCCAAAACCAAGGGCTCTTTTGATTTCTTCCTAGAGACGTCTGGTCTTAGTTCTAAGTCTATATTTACATCGAATAAGAATTATCTTGGCCTAAGGCCGCCTAGTGCCAATCACAAGAGTGTCCTTAAGCCTAAGGATGTGAAGATGCGTGTTAAGAATCCTATTGCAACGAACAAAATCAACGAAAAGTCTATGACCACTGCTATTAAATATTTCGAGCCCTATGTGTAAACTTACTGTTAGTTTTATGTACCTACGCTATTTTTAATGTAATACTTTTAAATTTATTTATTATAAAAATGAACTTGCCGGAGTAATACTATGAACTAATGTATTTATATTGGTGTAAATATCATAATTATACCTAGTTATTTTCAGTTATAAAATACTTAACATTTATATAGTGGTTTTATTTTGACATATTTAGAAGCTATTTCTGGTAGTTGTTATACTATGCCCGTTTCTATATATTATATTATTTCTTTTTCAAAAGATCAAAATAAACATTATCTTTATTCTAAAGTACATACTATTTTAAAAAAAAAAACCTAATTTTTTGCCAAAAACTAGTGAACGCTTTGTTGACTACTTTAAGCAAATTATCTACGTTTGATATTACGACGGGCCTGCCCAGTATACGAATTAGTGACCTTGACTGCTAAGCCGAAGGTCATGGGTTCAATTCCCACCCAGGACAAATAATTGTGTCATGAGCACGATCATTTCTTCTATGTCTGGACGTAATTTATTTATAATATGTATGTATTTACAAATGTATAAGTATGTTTATCAGCAGTCTGGTTACCATCGACGGGCTCTGCTTTATTATTTTATATCACACACGAGAAATGAAAATTATTGTTACTTCATCACATCAACAGCCTTTAATAGTCCATTGCTGGACATAGGCCTCTCCTTAGAAAGGAGGTTTTGGCCTACTATACCACGCTGGCCAGACGGGCTGGTATAGGGTTTGGGTCAAGTTTTCCTTCTTTTTGCAGTGCTGGTGTCCTGCGTTGTTTTGCGCCCTTAGTCGGCTCTTACGACACCCACGGGATGAATTGGGGTAGTGACATTCCGTATTCTTAATCCGTCACTACACGTACTTACTGATATTTATTGTATTAGTTACTGTATTATTATAAAACATTAGAGTATCAATAATACAAATGTTCATAACTATCGAGGATACAGTTTTCATATTGATTTATAAATACTAAATATCTATTTATAAATATGCAGAAGAAACATTTGTTTTCATCACTAATTATTAGATCATCGTGTCACCGAAATGGTAAAGACAGTACAGAAGTAGCAATATACAAACACATTTACCATAATGCGATGTCCATTGCTCTTCCGACTTCTCATATCGACGGAATGCCTGCAGTAATGTTACTCATCATCAACAACAACAGCCTTTAATAGTCCTCTGCTAGACATAGGCCTCTCCTTAGAAAGCAAGTTTTGGTCTACTATACATCGCCGGTCAGATGGGTTGCTACTGGGTTGGTTTCAAGTTTTTTTCTCTTTGCAGTACTCTTATCCTGCATAGCTAATTTTCTGTATTCTTTATCCGTCACTACACGGATATGGGTATTAAGAAAATGAAGAAGGTACAGCAGCAAATCCGCACACATCACTGAATTAATTCTTCTAATTACTTCTTTTACTTTTTAGGTAGGTACACACGAAAGGTCTGTTATTTATATGCGCATGCTTAAATTAAACTAAGTATTTATCGTATCAGGACAAAGGTAAAAAAGAAATAAAACAGAAAATAAATTAGTTGACATTTTATTGGTAATAATATAATATACTATAATCAGGTGACCAGTCTGCTCGTTTGCCCCCTTATACCATAAAATATATATATAGCCAGGTCCTAGTCATAACATTTCTCTAACAAGTTCTTTTCTGTTACCTGTCAATTATCTAACCTTAAATCTACATTTACAAAAGTTCTATACGAGTATTAACTAAATCTTATTCTTACCCATCTACACTAATATTATAAAGCTGAAGAGTTTGTTTGTTTGAATGCGCTAATCTCAGGAACTACTGGTCCGATTTGAAAAATTATTTCAGTGTTATATAGCCCATTTATCGAGGAAGGCTATAGGCTATATATCATCACGCTAAGACCAATAGGAGCGGAGCACCAATGAAGAATGTATCAAAAACGGAAAAAAATTATTACTATTGAGAGACGCAGACGAAGTTGCGCGGGTCAGCTAGTATAAGATAAATCCTTTCTTTACTAAGAAAATAGAAAATAGATTCCACTACTAACTACGTGTTATTTTAGTCAAACCATTTAATATTTACAACGGCGTCCTTAAACTAAGCTAAGTTTTTTTTTTTATTTCATTGATTTGAGACGTGTGGTCCGATTGGTCCGTGTGGTGACGAATTAAAAATACGGAGTGTCAATACCCCTATTCATCCCGTGGGTGTCGTAAGAGGCGACTAAGGGAGCTAACGCAGGACAACCAGCACTGCAAAGAGAAGGAAAACTTGATGCAAACCATATACCAACCCGTCTTCAACCCGGCCAGCGTGGTATAGTAGGCCAAAACTTCCTTCCTAAGGAGAGGCCTATGTCCCGTAGTGGACTGAAAGGCTGTTGATGTGAGATTAACATTATGAGTACAAAAGCACTGTTAAAATGTGTGAAACTATGTAAGCGGATTTTGAGCTGTGTGTAATTATTTGCTCCATTCTATTCTTCACATAACATTCTCCTACCCTCTTTAATGCATATACTCTTACTCGTTTCTACGTCACGCTAAGGTAGACTGGAAGAGAATGCTTTTAGGCCTCCTCTGTACACATCATACATAAAGTAAAAATAAATAAATGAATAACAAACAAAATACATTTTCAGACAATTTATTAGTAATAAAGTATATGGATTTGTCTTAGTCATAACAATTATTTAACAGGTTATAATAAATAACAATAAATATCTTAAAACTAATTACATGGTATTAAAATATGAGGCGAATTTATATATATAGGATATAATAATAATAATTAATATCTATATCTAACTTTTTTATATTTTTTGACCACAAATAACTTGGTAGTTTTTCTTGAACGTTTACAAACACTTCTATTTTTGCAACCTTCTTGAACTAAACCTAATGACCCTGAAGATCCTTTAGCTTTATTTTCATAAGCCTCGACGTAACCTGCAATAGACCAGTCTTTAGATGAATCTTTTGTGTCTTCACTGGAACAGAATATTCTTACCGACGAAATATCGAAAGAGAAGGAATCAAAGAGCTTCATATTTTCTTTTCTCCTCCCAGTTTGCAAGTATCCTTCGTCTATCGTCGTAGGTATGTCCATCAATGTTGAGTGAGCAGGCAGGCAGGGCCAAAGGTCTTCAAGAGTGTCCAATAGTGTTGATTTAGTTTGCCCCATTTGTGATTGGGACACAGAATTCAACTGCAAAATGCAATTTTAGTTCTGTAGATATTGTAAGACACGACTGTTTGGTGATGCTCGAACAACGACTGTAGAATTAATGTCTAAATAATTATTGCCAGCTGCTTATATATGAACTGGAAGGGCCCTTTCATGAGCCTAATTAGGCAAATTTTTCGAAGAATAAAAATGTTTATTAGAACATAATGACATAAAAATAATCTAGTAATAATTATTTAATCTATATAACATTAGGACTGCTGATTTAAAAGTATCTTTTAGGAGAGTACAATTACTTAATTATACTCGTATTCTCCTAATTTTTTTTTTATCTTTATAACATTAGGACTGTTGATTTAAAATAAAGTTCTAATTAGTTCATTATCACTACATGCGGAACTCGTGTGCCCGTCATTATTTATATTTTCATCATCAGAATGATATCATCATATTTTATTTCTTTTTACAGTTTAATATTTGGAATCAGTGTTTTGCATCATTGCAAAGAGGTTTGATTGGGTTCTTCCTATGGCCGGCCATTGCGCTTATTTGACGCCAACCCTGATTTGGCATATAACCGTCCACCTGTCTGTAATCGTTTTCAGACGGGATCAAGCAAGAAATAAAATTTGCAGCAATAAAAACTAATAGGACTAGTGAGATATGGTAGGGAATACGCTCGTCTCAGATTCACTAAAGGGACTGAAACGATAGCAGTGCGAATAGGCCGCGATCGCGTCCTTGTGTGTCCGTCTTGTGATTGGGCACGACACCGCGACAAACACATCACCTTACATATTTTTTCTAATATTGATGTCCATGTGATTCCTTCCTTTCTTCCACGGGACATTGTCATGTAGGTATAATGCTTAAACCTAAGTACATCATAGCCAAAAACTGAACGGGATTCAATCTGGAGAGACAGGATCTGTTTTCCCGACCGACAAATAGGTTAATTATAAAATAACCTATGGGAATAAATATCCTTTACAGCCATTACATTATCAGAGCCTGCGGCGACAAGATTTATTCTATTAAACTCAACTGCTGCGGATCGTGAATGCCTTACTAGTGTGTTAGCAACGTGGTACATATACGCGATGTAACCCCTGGTTTTGTGGTAACCCTTCCCAAACTATAAATAATACTATTCGAAATTGGGAGGATATATGAAAAATACGAAAAGTAAAATGTAGAATAAAGTCAAAAACACTCATCAATCTTTGTTCGAAATTGTTTTGCAAAAATTAAAATGTCGCTTCTAGTTAGCGCACTAAAATCTTACATCTTTATAGGGATGTACGTCTACGTACGAAGTTGTGACAGTGTGGGTTGCAGTTAAAACATTATTTTATTACTACCGCTTTTAATTATGCTCTCAAGTAAAATGTTATTGTGTATTAGTATTAATTTATGTTTTCGTACTAAGTGTTTGTATTACTTTGTATGTTAAAATTTATAATTTCTTGTAGGCTGTCTAGGGATGCGCTAATGAGGTGGATGGTAGTCTAGGAGGTTGGCGATATTTTATTCGTGTCCGATTACATGCGTAGAATATCTGAAAATTAAAATAAAACCAACTACAAATTATAGAAAGTGGTCAGAGTCCTGTAGGCCTATATTTAAATCAGAAAGACTCTTCGAAGTGTAGAAATTCGTTAAGTGTAATATAGCATTGTTTGAAGCTAATGATAACACAATTAAGCGTAAAATTCACCAAAGCTATTTAAAAATGTCTGTAGGTACTTCGTTAAGCGATGGTCAGAGCAAGATGTGTGTACATGGCACCTCTTATTTACGTGTTACCTGAAAAAATTGTGAACTTACCATAACATAAATTTTCTGTTGAACTAAATAAATGGCTAATTGAACAGTGCCTTTATTATTTTAACAAATTTTTAAAAAATTCGCTTCTCGGTCTTTTCATTTTAGAAATGCATTGCGTTAATTTACAACTAAAAACTCAAAGCTGTATCTCGTAATCGTTGCTTTTGTTTTTATTATTTTAACCTTCCTACAAAATTTTTGCATGCTATCTAATGGCGAAATGTGTCCTGTTCTCATTATTTAATCTATTTACCATCTTTTGTAACACATTTTATGCAAATAAACTTATTATTCTCTTAATTTTTTTTTCATATTTAAAAATATAAAAATTAATAGACCACCGACATTATTATTATTAATGTTCAAAGGTTTTTTAAAGCATGTATTAAAGACGAACGTAACTTTGCAGTTCTAAAAATCCTCCTCCATATGTTCATTTACTTCTGACTACTAATTTTTCAGTCACAATCTCCAACAGCAGAATAAATAAGTTTATAGACCATATATATATTATCTATAACCCGGCAATGTCGTACGCGACCGTCCCGCGGGGTGACAGACAGTGGCGGGGGCGAGGTAGCGCGTCATTCTAGCACACGGCTACACACGAAGAGAAGAGAAGAGAAGTGTTTCCCTTCCCCGCTACACCACCCGCTACCCTCTGACATCTTGAGTACCTCGTCCCCGCCACTGTCTGTCACCCCGCGGGACGGTCGCGCACGACGTTGATGGACTATAGTAACTTTTATTCTGATAGTTCTAGTTAGTCATTCAGACAGCTAAGCGGTCGTAGGTTCGTTTCGCACTCACACTATTTTTAGGGCTAACTATAATCCACCAGGCCCGGTAACGGGCCAGGTACCGCAGGCGACTCGTGCGCCGGAGATCGCAGAACGACCTCCATCCTCCATAAACGCAGGCCTGGGGGTGACAGGTGAGGCCATCTGTCACCCTAGCAGAAGCAGGCCGGGGTGGCGGCTAGCGCGTTGCGAAGCGCGCTCGCTTCCAGGGAGCAGAGGGAACATGGGGTTCCCACACGGGGGGGGTCATCTACCTGTTGTTGTAGATGGCCCGAGGTATGTCGGGGCACCAGGGACTTCCTTTCTAGGGTATACCTGGTTCCCCGGCTATTAGTACCCGAGACGGCGTGCGGTTTTAGTCGGTTCGAGTCCGACATGCCACCGATAAGGTGGTCTCCGAGGGGATTTCCGCACGGAAAAAAAAAAGGGCTAACTATAATGAGTTTAAGAGTCAGTTACCTACTCTAAGAAAATAACAAAATATTAAGTTTCTTCAAAAATTTATATTATGATGATGATGAGGTTTGAATTTTGGTGATCAATTACTATTTTTAGCAGCATAAGTGTTTTTTTTGATATGCTATTTTACTATATCTGGTGGTAAGTTAAACATAACTCTTAAATAATTATAAACTATTAGAACCTAACAAAGATTTTATTCAAAAGTATGTCGTAATTAAATAATCTAAGAGAATTAATTACATATACTTTCTTTATTATTTAGGATCTTCGTCATTTAGCTTAATTAGGCTCATTAAAGAGCTATGCTGATAAGATATATACAGCTGGCAATATTAATTCACCGATCATTGTTCAAGCTTCGTCAAACAGAACAGTCGTGTATATTTGGAACTACCTACAATTGCATTTATCTGTTGCATTTCGTGATCTGGGTCATAAATGGAACAAACCAAATCAATAGAATTGGACACTCCTGAAGACCTGCAGCCCAGCCTGCCTGCACACTCAACAATGATTGACAGATCTACGACGATAGACGTCCGAGGAATATCTGACAACTAGGATATCAAACTTTTATCCAATAAACGAAGAAAAGAAAATATGTATGAAGCGACTTGATTTGGATACTTCTTCGAAAAGAATATCGTCCGTGAATAAAATAGACACGCTCGAAAATTCTAAACGATGGTTCCTATGAAGTCACAAAAGACCTGGGAGCATTGAGTTATAAGTAATATAAGTTCAATGCCTGGGCCATCGCGGCATACGTGAAGACTTATCTGAGGTAGAAATATTTACAAGCGGTTAAGAAAATCTATGAAATTACTGTGTGTCTTACATTTACATAACATGAAGGTAAAAGAGTTTAATTTTTCAATATTTTTAATTACTTTTATGGTATTAGTAGTGCCAATTATACACACTAGATAGAGAAATGTAATGGTTATGACTATCACCTAAATATCTCATTTAATATAATAAAAATTAAACTTGTTGGTTTTTTTTTATTGTCTTTGTCCTGTTAAGATAAATACTTAGGTACTACCTACTTATATAAATATTGCTGGTTCGACAAAAATCACATGTAATAGTTGACATAATTCCCAAAACGTTTTTGGGAAAGGATAATAATAACAATTTGACTAATCTCACAAGAGGCCGTTTGATCCCAAACTAGGCCGAGGCAGTACTATGGGTAACGAGTGCAGACAAATTCTTATATATTTGTAAACACATGTATATTACAGATAAATTACACCCAGACACGGAACAAACAAATCATCATGCACAATTATATTTCGTTTACACGGACGGCGTAGGCTCACCACTCCGCTTCTTACTATGTTGAGTGTTGTGGTTTGGAGCCAAACATGAGACGACACTTGTGTGATCCACAAATTGTGGTTCTGAGTCTGGGTGTTCTTTGTGTCCATTTCATGTATGTTTGTAAAGTTCCCCGCGACACAGGATATATTCCTAGTGCGTTGTCTTTTTATAAAAAAAAAATGTCCTGAATTGGAGATAGTTGGCCATTTAACATTAGACAAAATCTTCACAAAGAAACGAAACGCATTCCTTGTCTAGGTGCCAGTATAAAGTGAACAAATGTCTTGTATTGTTCTTACTATCATATTTCATCCAATTCACAATTTGTCTTGACAACTATTCATACTATGTGTCAAATTTCTTGTCAACGGTCAACAATTGCCACATAAACAAATGGAGCAAACCGGCTACTCTATGGTACCCAACAGATGGCTTTAAAAACAGGGACTGACTGACCCTGAGCTATACTGGATAAAGGTTGCAGTGGATAGAACCTAGTGCAGAGTTTTGGAGGAGTTCATGAGACACACAGACTTTATGGATATTGTTTAAATAAAAAAACGCAGAAACCGACATTTATAACTCCAAAGGAGGAAGATATTATTCTCCTGGTCAAATATATTTAATAAATAAAGATCAGTCAAACATTTCTTACGACATTGATATCAACTGATCTTGAACATTGAAGGACTATATAATAATTGACGGGCCTGCTAGTCTAGTGGTTATTGACCCTGTCTGCCAAGCCGGGGATCATGGGTTCGATTCCCACCCAGGTCAAATAACTGTGTGATGAGCATGATGATTTGTTCTGTGTCTGGGTGTAATTTATCTATAATATGTATGTATTTAGAAATATATAATTATGTTTATCAGCAGTCTGGTTACCATAGCACAGGCTCTGCCTAGTTTGGAATCAGATGGCAATGTGTGAGATGTGTGAAGCTATTATTTATTTTTAATATAACAGATTGATACTGATTAGAGCTGAACAAAAATGTGGGGTTTATATTTGTTTTGGCCTTATTTAGATTAGCAATTAAAACTTAATTAATAGTTAATAATGTATAAGTTTATTTTAGTATCTACTATTTCTACAATTATTATCTCTTTTTCTTCTTCTTTGCACCTTTGTCATTATTTTTCTTTAAATCTTTTTTCTGAACCTGAAATGAAAATAATATTTTATTCAAGGGATGGCCTTTTCTATTCAAAATCATGGGATTTTAAATAACAATTTTGTAACAGAATATAATAGTGAAAATTGTAGATTTAAACTATAACAAGACAACCCGAAATTGTTATGAAACTAATCATATTCAATGTTAATTCGAAAAATAAATCTGAAATGTTAAAATAAAATGGGATCATAATTTTTTTTTGTGACTTGATGGTTCAAGTTTTACTGAGTTTTATTATTTTAAGCAGAGGATTGTTATTAAGTAGGCATGCAAAGGCTATGAAATGATATTAATTTATGCAAGTAAATCTTTTCAGATATTTTTACAAGTCCAGGATTGCATAATCCATGATTGCAATCCAATAATTGCATAATTGACAATGCATATACCCAATAGCCAAATACAACATCCAGGCTCAACCCCTTGAAAGAGGGTGGTTGTTGATCGGCACAGGCTTATAATAAATTTTTGATATATATTTGAGATATTTGACAAAACAGAAATTGTTGCTACTGTGCCTGTAGATCTATGACTTTAGTCTACAGTCATAAGTACTCATAAGACACAATTCCAAACAATTTTTTTTTTTTATGAAATAAACAGATTTTGAGTTTGAGTTTGATCAGTGTCTCAGTGAAAAATAGCTCCTAAATCTAATAACTGTCAAAAAAATCTTTACTGATATTATATGTTACCTATGTATAATATCAGTAAAGATTTTTTTGACAGTTGACAGACACTTTTGATTTTCTGTAGTTCATAACCTGTGGAACTACTGAACCAATTTTATTACTTCTTTTAAAATTCGAAAGCAGCTTCATGCAAGTAAAAAAAGACCAGCAACACACTGTCATAGTGACCTCTAAGTTTCAGACATTAATGACTAGCGGTTCTTACTTTCTATCAAGTAACTCTGTCTGCTTATTTGACTCCTATATCATAAAAAAAAACAGTGGCACTCTGGGAGTACCAACAGAAGTAAAAACTTGAAAATGTATAAATTTTTGTTTATTTTGATTCCACAAGTGGCGACATTAACATACATCAATGTTATACATGTATTATATATATATATATATACACACTATATATTTTTATTTATAATTATTTTATCAATGTATTTCAACCCAAACTCAAGTCACATGAAAACAGGACCAGTATATGTAGATTCTTATATACAGAGGTGTCAGTAACGGCAACAGTGTCGAAATTCAGTCAAATTTTATTTCCCATCTCTAAAATACATTCTTTTGTTTGTTGTTCAAAAATGCCGAATGCGCCTAAACAAGTCTTTACTTCATAAAGTCATTTGGAACATAAGCTATACTGAAAGCAGGCGAAGCTACAGGTTTAAATATTATTTTAATTGTAAAACAACCTGACTAAACATACCTTTCCGTAGCTACTTAATAAATGTCCAACATCATTATTTGTCTTTTTCTTCTTCTTGCCACCTGTGTGTAAAATACTCTTAGACATCATCAACTGCTTCTCTTCTTGGGCTTTAAGTTTTTCTTCTTTCCTTTTCTGCATTAAATCTTTGTAGTTCAAATACTCCTTTTTCGGAGGTTTGGCGCCTGAAAAGTAAATTTATTATCAGATAAATAAAAAACATACAGACAAGCTAGAATCTGACCATCTAAAAAACACCACTATGTTAATATACTAAGAAAACTAATAATAGATAGGTACTTCAGATAGAAATAATGTGATAAAATAATAACAGAAATGTGTATATAACCTAAACTAACTGCCAATGCAATTTTCGCCTCTTGTTTCTTTGTGGGATCAAAACCAGACATGCCAAATTTCAAAACTTCGTGTCTTATTTTTTTCAGGTCTAAATCCTTGTTGGATGGTTTCCCATCTAACTTATAATCGTTTGTTATGTTGTCCTTGTCATGTGTCTCCTTCTTCTTTTTCGGTTTATGCGCTTCAAATTTTACAAACTGAAAGTTACTTTCAGCATTTTTTAAGGCAAGTGCCGCCTTTGTCATTATAAGAGACATTTTTGAGTTAAGTAAACTAAAAAAGACTAAATTTAAGTTACTACGGAGTACACAGTACACGTTAACACGTTGCTCTGCTCACTGTATGTATATTTATCACAGAGTACATTGTAATATACTGAAAATATTTATTAACTTTCACGAGGTACGTCACTAACGTCACGTCCAGTGTTGCCAACAATTAAATGAACTCTCCACCAGATTCAACATCTAAAACCACTAATGAAAAACGACCCTACTCTAATAGACACTATTTTTCCACTAACGTTGTTTCTGTAATTACTAGACAAAACCATAAGTATTTTAATAACTAGTTTCCTTTATTAAAATACTGATACTAATCGTTTTTGTCAACAGCATCATCGTCAGTTCCAGATTATTACGATTCTTTGGTGCCGATTTTATTGACGTTTTTTGAAATTTCATATTTGTTGAAGTATTCTCCTTCCAACTGCAACCCACAGCGTATTCTTAATATAGCAGATAAAAGATTTTACTTCATTGTATTACGCTATTTATACCTATAGTATCTCAACATCGGCATTGAAATGAGGCATGAGTGTAATACCAAAGGTCGCTAATTCGTCAAATTTCGAAGTCCCTTGGCCCCTTGGGTATCTTTGAAAAGCAATGCCTTTAATATGTGGAAGTACCTTAACACGTTGGGCATTGGTATACAACAAGGAGCCGAGTTTTATTGGTTTAAATGATATCAGTCTTCATTTCTCTTCTTCTACTCAATCGGATCATTAAATTTACGGACCCTGAATTATATCGCTAGTCTACCCAGACCCAATATTTTCTCCTGTCTCTCAAAAAAAACTATTATGCAATGAACAAAATGGATTTTGTAAAAACAAACCTTAAATTTGGCAATTTACAATTTTCTTCATGAAGTTATGATGAAAGTAGACAAACGAACGCCTGTATGCTCAATATTTTGTGAAATGACACAGGCATTTGATTATGTCATCATCATCATCAACAGCCTTTACTAGTCCACTGCTCGACATAGGCCTCTCCTTGGGAAGGAGGTTTTGGCCTACTATACCACGCTGGCCAGACGGGTTGGTATAGGGTTTGTGCCAAGTTTTCCTTCTCTCTGCAGTGCTGTTGTTCTGCGTAGTTTTTTCCCTTAGTTGACTCTTACAACACCCACGGGATGAATAGGGGTGGTGACAATCTGTATTCTTAATCCGTCACCAGAGAACTTCTCACACAACTGTCTAATGGTGTCTAGCCAAGGTTGTGTTTTTGTGAGATAATAGAGAATATCATCAAGTCAATTTCTAGCTGTCACAACAATTAAAATAGTTGCCATGATACACACGCTTGTTTTTTTACCTGGATTAGGTATATCTATCTCTTTCCGTTTACACCAAAATTCGTTTATGCTATCTTGCTGTCAGTCAGACAAGAAAGAAAACTCCTCTGACGGGTTAACTTAATCATGCAAAAGGGTTTCTGTAAACTTCATGCGCGGCTTCGTTTTTCACAATTTCTTCATGATGGAATAATATTCTATTAATAGTGTTGCTTTTTCTTTGTTTTTCGCTCTGAAGCCGGCTGCGGTCGCGTCTTCACTAAAAATAAATAATGTAACCGGTATTGAGTAGTTTAATTTTGGCTGAGCAGGTAGCCACCGAGGCCAAATAATATTTTCGTCACTCGTGAGAACACCTCGTAACTAGGAGTAGAAAACGTTGACATTCCAAATACATTCTGTACCGAAGACGTACGCTTTAGTCCTATGATAAAACTTTATATTATTATTTAATTAAAATGAAAAATAAGTACAGAAATACTGATTCTTCCATAAAAGCTGGTGATTTAATATTAACAGAACCACCGTTTGCTTTTGTTTTGTCGTCGAAGGAACAAGGTACCCGGTGCGATAATTGCTTAGAGAAGTAAGTATTTTTCACTTAAATACACCATTTTTAATTAACATTCCTCAACTTAACAAGCATGCTAAACATTTATGTCTTAATTGCCAGTTATGTTTCTTTTATAATAAAATAAATACTTACACTAAGTTAAGTAAAGAAGCCCTAGATACATTTGTATTTAAGCAATATACCTGTACCTGTACATACCTAGACTTAGAGTCAATTAATGTGAACTCGGAATAAAAAATAAAATCATTAGTCATGTTAATGTTATTAAAAATCTAAAATTTCACTAAGTATTCGATTTTTAACATGCATATGAGGCACTTTCATAAATCACTTTCAATTACTGAAACAAATGTTATAAAAATAAAACCAAAATTTTTAAGTAGCATCAGATGCTACAAATAACTTAATATGAACACACTATGAAGTTGTTCACTAACCATATTTTTATTTGTACAATTACACCTAAATTGAGATATTGTAAATGTACACAGTTTGGCTCACTACATAATTTGTCCTAACAGATTTTATGTAAAATGTAACTTTTAATTTTATTCTATTGCATAACCTATATATACATATAGGATATTTTTTGTATACAATAGAACTTAAATGATGTTACTTTATATCTGGGTAACTTGTATTCAAGTAAAATAAAAATCTAAAATATAACCATGCAAGCAAGTTTGGGTTGACCTGGTGATCTGTAATTATGGTTTCCCTATACCAAACTCCATAACTTGTGCACTTATGACTGTCAGGTAATTATGTAATGAGGTGACGGTAATTTTTTTTTTTTTAATTATTATGTATTTGATACATAACATAACTATTTTGATTTCTTCACTTAGTTTCAAAGTTTATACATGGCTTAAGCAATGTAAGATATGATACACCTCATACATCCACCTCACACATCTTACACACCGCCATCTGATCCCAAACTAGGCATAGCCTGTGCTATGGTAACCAGACTGCTGATAAATATACTTATACTAGCTGACCCGGCAAACATTGTTTTGCCATATACATTATTTCTAAGAAATATTAAAAAAAAAATAGGGGTGGGTCACCCCTTTCATTATACACCTAGGTATGAAAAATAGATGTTGGCCAATTCTCAGACCTACCCGCTTTGCACACAAAATTTCATAAAAATTGGTCCAGCTGTTTTGGAGGAGTATGGTAACTAACATTGTGACATGAGAATTTTATATATAAGATTTTTTAAATACATACATATTATAGATAAATTACACTCAGACACAGAACAAATGACCATGCTCATCACACATGTTAGTCCTGGTTGGGAAGTACCTCTATGAAGTAGATATGTTTAGGTTCCCATGAGCTAGTTTGCAAGATTGTAATAATTAAATTTCTGACAATAGAACCCACTAATGCGACAAACTGCATTTTAAAATGTAAATCTCCTCACTGTTGGTTAGACTCAAGGGATGGCTTGTAAGTGCTTCCAGCTCTAAAACAAGGTGAATAATTCAACTACAACACTCCCTGTACTCAAATATAGCCTTGATAATGCTGAATTTTAGAGTTTGGCTTTGCTTACCGCAGCAATGTTGACATTCATAAATCCTTAATAAACACAATGTTTATCCAACCTTGCTTGTCAGTATTGCTTGCAAGACACATATCAAATTTTCCGATGACTCTTTTATCTGCAATGCCTTTCAATTCATTGTTATAAGTCTTCATTTTCGATCATATCCGAGACTCATTGTACAGTTCCAACTTTCATTTGCCTAAGTCTTTTTTATTAAGTGCAAGTTATGGCAAATTACAGATATTCTTGAACTTGTATGATAGCTATTTAGTTTTTCCTGTCTGTACGATATTGTGTGTAGCACTAATTTAATATTTTAATTTTCAAATCGATTGTATCTTCTTCAGTTAGAATAATAAATACTGTTTATAATTACCATTTTGACTAAGGGTAGGTACTTATTAATTAATAAAGTTCTAAAAAAAGTATCAAGACTTAAAGAGGCGAAATATTTTCTATAAATTTAAATGGCATCCCTGAGTGCCTACAACTATTCCAATTAAAAAAAAAAATTGAATGTAAAACCAATTCTTTTTAAAATCGGTTAAAATAAGAATAAAACCAAAACAAAACCCAACAGGTGGTCTCTTGTTTTTTCACCACAGTATCATGACACACGTTGACCGTGTCGCTTTTGTTTCAGGGGCAAAGTATTGAAATGTTCAGGATGCCAGTACGTGCACTACTGCGGACGGGCGTGCCAAAGAGACGCATGGATTGATCATAAGGTATGTTATCCCGTATACATTTAACTATATATTTAAGTACCGTCTTTTAAGAATTTATTCTGGAGCTTTTCATTAAAGTATAGAAACGACATCAAAGCTTTAAGACCGTTAAATATTGATCAGAGTTATAATTTAAGCCACATCGAATATGAAACTTAAACATATTGCTGTTCAAAGAATGTGAACTACATTGCAAAAAATGAGTCTATTTTTATTGGGTTAAGGAATTCTTCAATTTCCAACGGTATATCTGAGAGCGGTCTCACTAAGAGTATGAAGCGTTATTGTACGCGACTATACTTTCTATTCAAAGAGGTACTCAAATTGGGTAACGTTAACTGGTCTTCATAGAGCTTTATTCTGGCATGGGAAAGTATTCCCTCACTCTCCCTTTTTTCTGTTCACCTGTTTACCATGCGAAATATTAAAAAGTAAGTTATCTTAACACTGTACCGTACGATTTACGTTTCAGACCAGACCAGATAATAAATAGTTAGTCGCCGGTTAAAATAATTGCGCTATAACGAATAGAGTCATTCTATGGTTAAAAGGTCTAAAATACTAATTTAATAATTTATTTACACTTTATGCACAAATATTACAAAGAGCGGACTTAATGCCGTTGGCATTTTCTCCCAGTCAACCTTAGGGCGATGCAGAGCTAAAACATGGCAGATGCACAAAAGAAATTAAAAATGTGATTTTATGAAAAATATAGCTTATATAGGATATCATATACCCAGAGTACTTATATTAATTTCATTAGAATATTTTTTTATAAATAATACACATACAATAGGTAATAATGATACTAACACACACAATACACAAGTATTCATATACATATGCACCTATACATATATACATATATATCGTAAGAGCCGACTAAGGGAAAAAACTACGCAGGACAACAGCACTGCAGAGAGAAGGAAAACTTGACACAAACCCTATACCAACCCGTCTGGCCAGCGTGGTATAGTAGGCCAAAACCTCCTTTCTAAGGAGAGGCTTATGTCCAGCAGTGGACTATTAAAGGCTGTTGATGATGATGATATATATATATACTTATTATTATATATATATATATATAATAATAAGTCTCGAGATTTCGAGTATATGTCATTATACAATACCAAGAACATACGACATACTGACATAAAAATCTATTCTTGTCAGAAAAAAGGTAATTTTAGACCAAGACTATGTTTCTTTAAATATTTACTAAATAATTTACATGACATGACAGTTTGCACGTAATACGAAATTTTGGCAAGCATCATGGTATATTTTTATTAAACAAAACAGCCAGGAATAAAAAGTGTCTTAAAACTAAACCAATGCTCATTTAAACCCGAATATAAAGTACTAAAGGTATTGATGATTAAATTTATTTACTTATTAGGGAGTCCTGGAATGCGAGGGAGTGGCCCACAACGGGCAAGTATCATTCCTGAGACAAAATCGCTCCTATAAGCCTGTGAACGCCCCAGGAGGCTTCTGCGCTTCTGGAAGGAGCTTGGTTGGCTCACCTAGCTAACCAATCCTCGACGCATAAAGGACCACTCTTGAGTCTAAATGCGGAAACCGAAGCCCACAACCAATACCAATACCAAAAAAAAAGGGACTCGTGACTAAGTGGTAACCGAGTAGATTAGCTCACTGCAATGTTAAGTAATCCTAGCCAGATCAGTCTATAGATGGATGACCATTCTTAACATAATGAGACCCCTCCGTGCCTTGAAGAGCATGTTAAAACGTTGACCCTGTTTGCCGTACGATCGTCTGTGGCAATCGTTACGGGTAGTTGTAGACCTAAAAAGTCCGACAACAGTATCTAGAGAACTTTGATATCGCCTAGAGCTTGGGTTGAGAAGGTCTGATGGGAAATACGCTCGGAGGAGGATGATTGTGAAGGCTCGAACTTATTGGCAATGCCAGACCAAAATAGACGTATGCGACACTGACACTCTTGAATTTTTGCTTACATTTATTCCCCTATTCTTTTCATTTTCGTTCCTTTTCGCCTACCGCTTCCCTTTCAATGTACTTCCAGTTCCCGTTTTTTGATTAAACAATACCTACTTGACGGCAATACGCTTGTCCCCTATTATATAACATGAGTAGGAGTAAATGTCTGTACAAAATGTGTTGGTTAATACCACCCTTCCTAGATACAGGCGTGTGTTTATTTATGTATTTGTATTCATCAACTTTAGATTTTACTACTTCATTCAAAGGTTTACGTCGAATGATGTTGTTATGAGTATAATACCTGTCTACTTAATATCTCTGAAATGAATGCCAGACAACGCAGGACAACCAGCACTGCAAAGAGAAGGAAAACTTGACACAAACCCTATCCAACCCGTCTGACCAGCGTGGTATAGTAGGCCAAAGCCTCAGTTCTAAGGAGAGGCCTATGTCCAGCAGTGGACTATTAAAGGCTGTTGATGTGATGTGAATGCCAGATACTTGGCAAGTTTCTATGTTTTTTTGTAATGTTCTGCGTGAAGGCTGTTACGAGTTTTGCTTAAGCAGATTGTGTAACACATCGCGTCTGTACAAATATACTCGTACATTGACAAGGCAGTGCCTTCCGCGTTGTACCTATCTAATTTAAATCACAGGACGATTTCTTAAACAAGCATATGCCTATTTAAGAAATTGATGATTGTGATTTATTTGACATATTAATGATAATTTACATAGAAACATCTTCATCTTTCTATGTAAATGATCATTCTCATTAACTCCAATTAAAACCCAATTAGTAGTTAATGAGTTGAACGTTTTCGATTAAACGATTAGTTTGTCCCCACATTTTTTGGTGACCGGGTGTAAATCTACATTTCCATACACTTCTGACTTTTACCCGACGACCTCTGTGTCCCACTGATTGCTATGATCGGATGAGCAACTGACCGCAGTTGATTGTTCTGCAACTCCCGACAGGCATTGACCGCTCTTAAGATTAATGGGTTACGGAACATCGTTGGGTGTGCTGTTCCAACGACGTTTCCCCGAAAAGTTCTTTGCTTGTATGGCGGTTTCTCCCCGCGGTTTTTTTTTTGGTATATTTTCAAAGATCTATCCGCGTATGTGGACGTTATCGACTAAAAGCCACCTCGGATTTCCGGATATGATTATTCATGTTTTATAGAAAATATTTTCTTCATAATTTTCACATCATTTTGGCACATCATTCAACTTTAATAGGCTTGACAGTTTGATCTAGTAGCGACAAGTGCACGAGGAACAGTTTATATAATATAAGTTATACCTGTTACTATGTCAATGTATCTATTTGTAGTTCGAATTAATATTTCAAAGGTTAGTGGACCAGTAGTCATCGAAACACGTATTACGTGTGTGGTTAATAGCCACGTGTTCTTTCAGTAGAGTTTTTAAGGTGTACATCTATTTACAAATGTTTTAAAACAATGCACATGGCGTTTCATATAAGCATCTGACTTTTTATTGATCGTAAATTTGAAAATAAAAACTGCAAACGAAACACGTATATATGTTTTTGAAACATCACAAACCTACATCTTGTTTTCGTACATCGAGCATTTAAATCGTAATTTGATTGGCAGTTTCTTTATTTATATTAGTTTTTTGTTTGGATGAAAAACATTGCTGAACAATAGCCTGATGACTTCTTTTCGCCATCAAAATTTTTGGTTTTATCCACTATTTTAGACTTAAGCTATATCTTATTATGTTAAACTGGAGGATTAAAAAATTTTTGAACTAAAGTATATCTTAGCAAACTTAACAAAGCATTCTATTTTCAGAACCTTTTTTCAATAAACATCGGAAGTTTTAATTACTTATTAATTGTGCGTTGGTATGACCTATTACTGTTTACTATACAAATGAAATAAAACATTCGTTTGATTCGTTTCTGTGTGTTTTATACTTGATTTCGACACATTTCTAACTTTTCAAATAAAAAAATATGTCTCAAACCCATAAATTTGCTCGTTTACAGTGAAAATATTTTTTTATTTGGATTAAAAACATACCTACTCAAAGTTTTTTTTCGCGTTTGAAAAACAGAAAAAACCTCAAGATGTTCAATCTTTTGAGACATTAGAGTTGCCAAATGCAGTCTAATGATTCAAAAATCGATGTAGGTACTGGATCCAAACTGGATAAACTAAAATCTATCCAATAACCCAGTGATATCATTCCACCTATTCACTTTCCCTATTTCTATAGGAAAATACTTAACACAATATAATTATTAATCTCTTTGCTTTAAATCGGTTTGTTCACATCTCTCAACAGTACCAAAGCAGAAATGTAAACATTTTTCTTTGAGCAAAATATTTTAATATAATCTCAAACGTAGAACATTAAAAAGTATTCTTTCTTTTGAATTATATGTTTAAAGTATGCGCGTGTACCCTAAACATTACTTGAATCTTATTCTTGGTACCAGATTTTATCGTATGTAAGTACTATTAATACCTGTTTCAACGCTGTTAATGTATTTTTGTGCCATATTAAGAAAATAAATCTTCACGTATTATTATTAATGCAATTTATCTAAAAAAACACGGTAATTTAGGATAATTCTTGGAGATATTCCTACAATGTTACATTACGAGTATATTCCGTACAAAAATCCATGCATCCATTCTTGACTGGCCAAAGGAGTTCCAATCATACATACGGTGGATGTTAATAAAAGATAAGCAAATTACATAATTTATTTTCAGTGGGAATGCGCTAACTTCAAAAGAATAACTCCGAAGATCTTGCCTGATGGAGCACGGATGTTGGCGAAGATTATCAACCGCTTGCAAAGAGGAGACGGACATTCTTTTAGATCGTTTTATTCTGGAACCTCATTCAGGATGTGGAAGGATTTGATGTCGCGTACGTATATATCTTTTGACACTGTTATTTATATATAACTGACAGGAAAAGTCAGAGACATACACTCTATTACATCCCACGACACGGGACACGGGAATTTAAGCGAAAAGATTGGAGCCCAGTTACAGGTAATATATTTGTGTTGTATCACTTTCGTGTCGACCAGTGCTGTAATAAGGCAGTAGAAACTTAGCGGAGGATTCACAGTTAAATAAATTAATATAGTCTATAGTTTCTTGGAAGGAAACATAAAAGTTTGACATATCCCTCGCCTTAGAATTGAAGGTGAGGTGAATTTGTCTTTATTTAGACTCATAATTTGTTTTATATGGAGATATTTAATTATGACCAATTCAAATTACAAATAATTATGAACAAATTCAACTCAATAGCAATGCATTATGACGAATATAACTCAAATGAATCGCATTTATACTATTAACTACCTCGATTCACGCTGAAGCTATTTCGAATGCCATTGATCATTCCTGAGCGGTGAGTTACGACTTACATTCGATCTTTGAGCCAATTCTCGTTTTAATCGATTCACGTAATGTGCGTCATTGTGACGTATGCATTTGCGGTTTTATAGGTTTTAGATTGCTTTTGTATTAAAAAGCGATGTTTTGAATAATTTCGGCAAGTATGCATCTACATACCGACGACGGTTTTGTTTTTCTTTTAAATTTCATAATTTACCTTTTTTCACTTATCATGTACCTACTTATTTATGTGGCAGTTCTCAAGGGAAAAGTGATAGATATTGAAATAAAAACGAGCTCATATTCTATGTGTAATATCTGAAATCTCATCTGACTGTTGGCTCTTACACACTAACTTTATCATTTTACTTCCCTTTTTACGAAATCACTTCGAAAAAAAGTTTCAATAACATTTACAAACTACCCAGATGGAGTATCAGCAATAAGTTCTTTTTTTACCGCCATTTCAAAAGAAGTAAAATTCTTTAAAAACGTCTTTTATGTAGACTCTAAAGTCATAAATCAACACACACAATAGCAAAAGATCTCTGTTTTGTCACGTCGCTTTGTATATAGGGACTGTTGATATATTGTAACTCTGATGGGAGAGTGCAAGTTTTACAAAGCGCTTATTTGTGTAAAACCAAAATTAAGCCGTAAAGTTTAAGGTATTATCCTATTGTCTTTTCTGTACCCTCGTTCAGGTGTAGGTATGCAAAACTGCCTAAATATCAGATGAACGGTACGACGCTGCGACGGCGCATGAAATAAGAATAAAAAAATAACTAAACAGGAATTTAGTGTAAAACAACTCAAGGATGTTAGCGGAAAAGATGTTGAATGTTTTATGCTTTTTTACTGGTGCACTTTATAACTTAAACTTTTCAAAATAAATTTATTTTAGCACCAATAATTTACCTTCTAAACTACTGAAGATATTTGTGAAATTGTTACCAGTCAGAATTAATTGTGAGTGTAATAAACGTGTCACACAGAAGGTTTACATAACAAATATTTTTTGTAAAACAACTAGCTGTTTAGTAAAGCAGTGGATTCGGCAATCAAATAAATATCGGTATATACTCATAACATTAAATGTGTTTTACTGGCCCGTTGCCAGCCCTTTTATTGAACTTTGACGAGCCTCTGGACGAGCAGAAATACTATACATATATCTTTAGTTTATTTCCGTAGATGCTCTCGACTTCAGCACAAATGGCATTGCCCGTTGTACCCTTGACTTATCATTTCTCCTGAATAAGCGATGCATTTACAATGTCATTTTCCTTACAGACTATTCAGACTTAAAAGCCGATATAAAACGGATGGATCATTTCACTTCACTGTGTGTGGTGTTGTACGATTTTCTAAAAGACATCTCGCTACCAAATACTGTAGAACTTATGGGATTATATGGAAGAGTAAGTGTTAACAATCATCTGTTATAAGTACTATTTTACAAATTGAATAATGTTTTAACAAAGTTTTAAGGAAATAAAGAGGCTATAATAATAATAATCTTTCAAGCCTTCGGTCTCATTTACTATACGCACATCTGTGGCAATCGTTACGGGTAGCTGGAGCTCTAAAAAAATCCAACAACAGTCTATCAACAGAACTTCGATATCGCTTAGTCCTAGTACTTGGGTTGTGGAGATCTGATGACAGTCGCTCCACGTAAAAAATTGAAGTTCAGCCGTATCGTAGTAGACTTGTGCCTTTTTTTTTTTTACGTGTGGAAATCCCCTCGGACCGTCACCCCACCGGGGTTTGCGGCGGGGTGGTGTGTCGGACTCGGACCGACTAAAACCACACGGTGTGCCACTCTGCGCCTGTAATAGGAGGGATCCGGGAACAGCTGTTATTAAGACATCCGGACCCCTCTTAGCGCCTGCCCGCAACGGCGCGGTGCCTACGCCAACCTGGTTTGGGAAAAGGCTCAGAAGAGGTCGTGTATCTTTTAACGGAGATAGTCTAGGCTCCTAGTGCTTTTCAATTAAATAATTAAAATATTCTAACATTTCAGATGGTAATCAACAGCTTTATGATATTGGATATAGACATGAACTCAATAGGTACAGGCATATATCTAGCGTCATCTATACTGGACCACAGCTGTAACCCAAACGCCGTGGCCACGTTTGACGGGAAGACTATCAATATTAGAGCCATCAGGGATATGCCTTGTTTGGATTGGAATCAGGTATGTTAAGTACAGAATTTTCAAAAAAAAACAAGCGTAAGAGTAAAGTACTATACTAATAATTATAATAAAGTTACCGTAGGAAGCATTGCTTCGTCACATGCGAGCCGACTCGACCGCAAACCTTACAGCAAACCGGTGATAATGTGTGCTTACCGGAGGCACTAAATCTCCCCCCTGACTCCGATTAAAGGGAGCGGCTAGTTTATATTATTATACTAATCTCTATATATATACCTCTTGTAATATTCCTCAATTAAGTCTATGGATGAGCCTAATGAATAATATATCTGCTGATAAAGCACTATTTTGAGTTTGGTTAATTTTAATTTTCAGATACGCATATCATACATCGACTTAATGAAGACTCCGTACGACCGGCAGACAGAACTGCTGCAGAACTACTACTTCTTGTGCCAGTGTGACAGGTGCATGGGTAAATGCTTTAGATGTGCCTACTAATTTGTTCTCGAATGTTCTGAATATTCTAAGCATGCGACGCTGTATTCTTCTCTTTGCCAGCTCACTTGAATAGGGAAAGGTTAACAAAAATTATATTCAATATTCATGTGAATATAGCCATTCGTTGCAAGTCTATAGAGTTGTAAATACAACGAAATTAAACTACAGTTTACAAGAAATATAATATGAGCAGACGGCGCTGTCGTCAGAATAAAAAAAAATCCATTGGAAAAATATTGCTACCGGTGTGTACACATCCTAGGTTAGTCAGCAAAGAATAGCAACCAGTATAAGCAAGTTTAGTAACCAGCAGAAGAATAGCAACCAGTATAAGATAAAATTGTTGTTAATTGCGATTAACTTTAATTATTTTCGAGTATCATCATCAACAACAGCGTTCAATTGTCTACTGCTGGACATAGGCCTCTCTGTAGAAAAGAGGGTTTGGCCTACTATACCAAGTTGGCCAGACGGTATAGGGTTTGTTTCAAGTTTTACTTATCTTTGCAGTGCTGTTGTCCCTTAGTCGGCTCTTACTACACCCACGGAATTAATAAGAGTGGTGACCACTCCGTATTCTTAATCCCTCACCACACAGACATCGTATAAATTAATGTGTGTCTAATAATCAATATAATCTATTTACTAGTACACCATAAACCTACTGTACGTACTTGACGGGCCTGTTGGTCTAGTGGTTAGTAACCCTGACTGCTACGCCAGAGGACTTGGGTTCAATTCCCACCCAGGACAAATAATTGTGTGATGAGCATGGTCATTTGTTCTATGTCTGGGTGTAATTTATCTATAATATGTATGTATTTAGAAATATATAAGTATGTTTATCAGCAATCTGGTTATCATAGTACAGGCTCTTCCTAAATTGGGATCAGACATCCGAGTGTAAAATGTGTGAAAATATTATTATTATTTAAATATTACTGTTCCTTATTTCGTTCAATTACCTAATTTTGCACAGAAATAAAGTCGTTGTTAGCTCTCGTTTTAATAATGATACAATAGGTCAAGTACTACAATTTGGCAACCGAAGTGCAATTTTCCTACTTTTAAACTTTCGCATTGTAAGCATAATTATCCTAAAAATAACCCTTAAGATCGTTTATGCTAATATGACCGTCATTTTGTACTAATTATAAAACATAAATGATTTTGTGCAGGTATTTATGTTTTATAGAGTAGGTACAAAATACGGTAGTCCCTGATAAATTTCGTTCCAAAATACTTAAGTATAATAACATTCACATTTTAAACGAATGTAATGAAACTGGAACTTTTTGTTAAATTGTTGGTCTATATGGACTAAAAGTTTAGTTAGATTTGAATTTGAATATTCTTGTAACTTCACATAACGCCCGATCCCTTAGGAGTGAAGAAGTGACGGCTAGTTTTTTAAATCTCCAAGTCAATAAATTTCATAGGGAAAACACAACAACGTTCAAATTAGGTTAAACGCTCTTAAATTGTTCCTTCTTTTTAACACAATACCCCTTTGCAGATGAAACACAAATAAAATATGCGCATGCGGCGATTTGTCTAAACAAGCAATGCAATAATCCTGTCAGCATACCGTGGAAGGAAGACTGCCTACTTGTCAGAAAACCAGAAAAAAAATCTGATAACGAAAATAATTCTGAAAATCAGAAATCAGAAAACAGTGAGGAAAAGTCTGATTGCAATAGTGGGGAGCAACTGGAAACTGGAGTGTCAAATGATATAGAGAGTAATAAAGATGATACAGAGGCAATACATTGTCACGAGTGTGGTACGAAATATAGTGAGAAACATATCGATGTATTCGTTAAGACTATGGAGTTCACGCATGTGCATTTACAGAATATGGAGAGGGCTTCCGTAGCTTGTATCCTTTTTGTTAAAATATTTTTATTATGCTGTGATTAAGCAGGAATTAGTCAAAAAGTATGAGTTTGCTTGACGCAGACTTGTTTTGCTTTATTGACTTACGTATCGAAGAAAATGTGACCAAGAAAGTGTTAGGTATAGGAGTTAAAGGGTACAAGAGAAGAGGAAGGCCAAAGAAAAGGTGGATGGACCGTGTAAGTGAGGATATGGCTAAGAAGGGAGTTAACAGTGAGATGACGAACGATAGATTGGAATGGAAAAATCATACTTACATTGACACGCTATTGAGATGCCACTGAGACGCCATTGACATCAGTCAAAATATCAGTATCCTACTAACATGTCGACCAATTGGGGTGGAAATCGGTTTCTCAGGGGTCGACATAAACGAAAACTGATTTCGGGGATCGATCTAATAATCGATCCCAATTAATTAACACAAATTCTTATTTGAAACTTAAGATACTGTATTAATTGTGTTACGTGTACTAACTTGTTATAAGAATGACTAATATTTTAGTAGCAAGTATCATTGTTGTACTTTTAAAAACTCAACAAGTCGATAAGTGTGCAGTAATTTGGTTATGGGGATCTGAGATATCAGTTCATTTTAGAAGGGGTCTCTTGCCCTAAATAGTTTGGGAATCTCTGCTTTACACCGAGTGAGTGAGGTTACTGGAGGTCACCCCCCCCCTTCCTGATTCTTGTGGGGGAGGGACTCTAATGCCAGCACCGCACTTGTGACTATTTGAGTTGCAGGTGACTACTCAATATTCCTAAACAAGTAACCTTAACTCCAGACCAGATATAGACGTATGCCAGTACTGTTTGGAACGGCAAGACGGGGTGGTGCACCCACTCAACGTGATGCACGCACAGACTTTAGACCACGCGTTCGACGCGCTCATACAAGTGCAGCTGTGGGAGAAGGCCTGTGGCTACGCTGACAAACTCATTCCTTGCTTCAGGTAAACAAAATTTAATTGTTCTACATTCCTCATACCAGGTACTTTTTAAGACATGTGCAGATTGCATAGCTGGGCATTAACTCGTTAATCCGTTAATTAACGAAGTTAACATTTTGATTAACGGATTAACTTTTAAGTTAACTTTTAAAAATGTTAACGGACACGTTAACTCCCGTTAATATGTGCAGAAGTCCGTTAATCGTTAATCCAATGCCTAATAGACCTAATAGTTACCGCACGGCACCGACAAGTGCCGGGCGGCGCGTGGCAGCGAGTGAAACAAAAACAAAACTAGATATATTTTGCCGGCGCGTGCGAGTGAGAAAGAAAACTGCGAAGACATTTGTTTCGTTTGATCATTTCATTACTTAGCGCCGGTGCTTAGAGTGACGAGTGTTTTGTTTTGTTTGTTGTTATTATAAATTACTGTCAGTGATCATTTGCGTGTTGATAATTGATTAAGAAGAGTGCAGTGGCAGTGGCAGTAACATTTGAATTATACAAGTATTTTGTTTTGTTTCTAACCTGTTAACTTCCAGAATCTAAACTAACAGGTTTTATAAGTTCACTAATGCAACGATATATACATGCAATTGTACACATATTAACGGATTAACGATTGACTTTAACTTTCGTTAATTCTTCCCAAATGTAACGCTTTAACGTTTAACGAAGCTAACTTTTTTTGTAGCGGATTAACGATTAACGAAGTTAACTATTTCACTAACGGTGCCCGGCTATGGCAGATTGAGAAGAGCAGTTTTACTAAATAATTTGATTTTGTTTATGATAAGATTCTATCTGTAAAATCGTTGTCTCAAACTTTATTGGAATATTGATATTAGTGTGTTCATATAAGGTCAGAAAACCTTGTAGAGCAAACACCAGATTGATAGAGGTCACTTCAATCCTCCTCGGAATGAAATAAGGGTCTGTCCAATAATGGTCACCTATCGCTGAAATAAATAAAATTATCATCCTTATTAAAGATTGTATTCAAATGTTGCGGTTTCTTGTCCCAAAAATAAGTTGTAACTTCCCTTCAAATTCTTTTAAATAAGTATTACATTTCTGGATCTTATTGTGTTATCCACACTCCAAGATCAAAGTTAGACAGAGACGAGCATTCCTTTGTTCGTTCTTTACTTACATCCCTGGCTTTATTAAAAAATAACCAAATATTAACTGTGATACTTTTTTAGGTTTTACTACGGAGAAAGAAACCCGCTACTTGGCCTTCTCTACTTGAAATACGGGAAGATTCTACTTTACAAAATGGACATCGAAAAAGCCTTGTCTCAGTTGAAGTGTGCTGAAAAAATTATTAAAATGACACATGGAGAGAGACATCCACTTTATAAGGAACAACTTCTGCCTTTATTACAACAAGCAATAATGGAATCATGAATCATTTAGTGCCTGTAATTAGTAGATAATTAGTATTTGATGTTTGAACTTTTTTAAATGAGACTTTACTCTTTGATTCTTTTTAGTATAAAATCACCACAAATTTGAGATTCTAAGACACACATGCACAGCTACCTTCTGCAAATTAAGAAAGATACTTGTACTGTTTGCATACATTTATTGAATGAAGTTACCCTTTCAGACAACCATCTATATTCTCTATACTTTTTGGGGCAAGATCATTTTAATATTGTGATTGTGGCTTTATCAAAATTTGTCACACATTCCAAATATTTAAATATATTTAAGAAGGCAATTACTTTAATAAAATAGTCCTTTTTGGAGAACTAGCTAAATTAGAACGCAGTCTATGAAGTGAAATATTTATTGACACAAAAGTGTTTCAAATAGTATAAATACTCTGGCTCTCAAACTAGTGTGAACTATAATGACTATTTAAAAATTTGGAAAAGGTGGAATTTGCGTATTATTAAACTAATCTTTAATGTACACTTCATCTTCTATACACATTAGATTTATAAATTGGGACTAAATCGCGACATTGTTTAGTTTTATGAGATTGAATTACACCCATGATGGCCGCGGAAGAATTGGCTTATAAACATTTGGCGACGACCCTGGTGTAGATGAGTGGTGCCTTTCCATCCTTACAGGTGCCAAAAAGCTAAATGTGAGAAAAAAGTTGAGCCGCTTTGGAACGTCTAGCAGATGTAAAACATCGAAATTATTTAGTAGAAATGGGTATAAAAGGATAGCTAGGAAAAAAAAGTAATATAATGCAATATTTGTAATATTATATGCAAAATTGCTCTACTTGTAAACTAGTATGACTATGTGTAAAAGTTAAATTTGGGAGACTTTAATTGATAGTAAGTAATATTTAACAAGATAAGGAAAATAAAAATGTAAGTTCATAGATAATCTTGTTCTACCCTGATCAAGAGCTAGACCCGGCGCTGTAAATATTAATCACGATAGAGTCCCAATTCGATTTAACTTATTTATATACTTCAATTGAATACCTATAGAAAGTAAGTTTTTTCATGTGAGACATCTCAGTGTAGCACATTAATATCAGTGAAAGAGATCTATATCTATCTGTATATGTAGTATTGGCATTGCCGCTAAGTGCAGTTATACCCTAAATATACTTGTGGTTAATTTACCGAGATATCTTAGTGCCTTAAAAAATTACAAACCAATAAAGAGTGAACAAACTAGAAAAGAGATTATGAATAGAGATAATTTTTGGTTTTATAAATTTGGAAACGGGTTGTCATAACATACATTCATAAAAATTCTTGGCAATAATAGTTTTAGAATTTCAATAAAACTGTGCAAACATGTTAGTTCTAAGCTAAAGATAAATTTTATTATATTTTGTAAATTATCAATATATTCACACATCAAATACTATGATTGTCTGAATAATTTGAATTTGTCAATTAATTTTTATATGTCACAAGGCTGTGTAAGCAATAAATTGGATTAAGTTTATTTGTTTAGATGCCTTTACTGAATAAATGAATAAGTCTAACATTTTGTTTGGAATTATGTCAAAGGACAGGATATATGATAAGTCAGTCTGTAGTGGACAAGGATTGTAGGTTTTAAGCTGAAATTCATGAAGTGATTTCACATTGTAAATCATTTGCTAAAATTTCAGCATAAGAATAATGTCAATAGATAAAATAAATATTTTATTAGCCACACTACATTGTCATTAATTAGTCAGTTGTGTACTTGTCCGTGAAGAGTAGTGTGGCAGTCCAATTTGTCATTCTGTTGCACACTTCCTCCTCTTAGCATTGCTCTCATCTTCTGCCTCTAAAACTTTAATACGAACACCACAAACCTCAGCCCCATGTAACACTCGCATGGCCTCATCAGCTGCTTGTGTTGAGGCGTAACGAGCATACCCTACAGTCTTATTGGGCAAAGTGTAAACATTGATTAGGTCCCCAAATCTACAGAATATGTCACGTAAAACAGTCAATGGAGGAGGTTGCGGCTTGCATACCAAGAAACACCTTTTAGCAACTTCACTGTCTATATCTGCCAGTGGTTGGGGCGGGGGTAACTTTACACTGCAGTAATTCAAGTCATTACTGTCATGATTTTCAGAGATCCCTGTAGTTGCCATTTTAATCAGCTTAGACGCTTCTGCTATAGCTTCAGCCAGCTGAGCTAAATCAGGAGTTGCAGAATTAGCTGCAGACTGAACAGCTTGGCTTAAAGTACGAGCAACCTGAGGTAACCTATTAAAATTCTGTTCATGGTAATCAAATTTAGACCTATATGGCTTAACGTAAATTTTCATACCCGGTGGGTATTCAAACTCATTTAATTTTTGAACAGCATAACCAGCACAGATCGGGTTAGAATATGAAACATATCCTTTTCCACATTGACGTACTGGATCAACAAAATATTGACAATCAACCATTCCTGGTATTATATCAAATAGACATTCCACTTGCATTTGAGATAACCGTGGACAACACATAAAATTAACTCTCGTAAAATTAGCTGAACGGGTGTTCATCATAGAAATGAGATCCAAGTGAGGACGCTCAATCGAATTTGACGCTGAAGCCAGTTCATTGATATTGGATTCAAAAGATGTACGCATCGGTGACTTTCTGTCCTGCTTTGGAAGTGCAAATATAGCTCTATACTTGTGTGGGCACTGTTCAAAAGCAATAGCTGCTTCTGAAAAGAGTTTGTATCTAACATACGCAAAACCTCTCGGTTCCCCTGTCTTACGATCTTCTTGTATGGTAACTGATTCAACCTTACCATAGTTATTAAAAACCTCATATATTTCATCTTCAGTAATGGTTTTAGGTACAGTTATAAAGAGTCTATTGAATTTATTGTCCTCATGTTCATTTTTAACAGTGTGGATATCAGATCGATTCGCCGCCACCATAACTTTCAAGGGGCGATCGGTCGGTTTAAGGCTCTTCTTGTTCATTTCCTCCAAGGCGTTTGCAGCTTCCGACGTTTTGGAGAATTTTATATACGCTACGCCTCTCGGTTCCCCCGTGTTATGATCAACTGGGATGCGTATATCATCAATAGTACCGAACTTAGAAAAGGCATCGCGGAAGTCCTGTTCCTTATATCGTCTGTCGCAAACTAGAAACAACCTTGAATACACAGGACTGTCCTCAGAGGTATCTTCATTACGCTTGCGTCTATTATTCATGTTTAAATAATACAATACCTATTCGAAGTTATAGCAGATATCTTTCGATAACGTGATAAACAGTGTTTGTGTAACTATTGAAATAAGATAACTTATAAAAATATACACAGGAAAATAGAGCTCTTAAATGCGCATATAAATTATCCATAAGTTATTCAAATTCAATATTATTAAAAGTTGAATGAAACAACAAGTGACAAAACAACTCACTGCTCGCTCACATAATGCAACATCACAGATAACTATATACTAGTCAGAGATTCAACATAGAGGATTAAGCACAGACAAACGGGTTATGAGTTTTCCAGTCTGTTAAACATAGTGATGTACCGGATATCCGTATCCGTATCCGCGGATATCCAAGGGAGAAGAGAGATCCGTAACCGTATCCGTATCCGTGACTTTTTTGGCTGATCTCACAATACATATTACATAGATGAAATTCTATATAGGTGATTTTGTATTCACTGTAAAACTCTTAAGTATGTGTTTGTAACACTATAAACAGCAACTTTTTTTCTGGCCAAGATCAAAATGAAAAAAAAATTGGTCCTCCATTCAAATGACCAATCAAATGTTGTTAGTTTGTATAGAGAAACAATTTTTTTTCTTTCGTTTTCGGTGTTAGTCCAGAAGAAAAGTTGTTGTTTATAATGTTACTAATATGCACTTCAGAGGTTTTCAGTAAATTTAAAATAACCCTGAATAATGGTTATTAGGTAGCTATGAAAAACTATTGAATTCGGTTCAGATTACTTTTTATTTCTTAAAACAAATATTTGGCACCTTTGTATTGCAATCATTTATCGTACTATACTAAATCAACTAGGCAGGTCGTAGGTACTGAAAGAGCTATCTTTATAATGAGATCAATCAAACATCTTTGTATTAGCTTATTAAAATAATGAAATATTTAAATATCAACGGCAAAGCGTCAAGTGGCGACAACTATCAAGGTCACGGGCTCCGATTGAGTAAGAAACTTAAGATCCGTATCCGTATCCGCGGATCTTGACACCAAATATCAGTATCCGGATCCGTATCCGCGGATATACTTTGTTAACGATCCGGCACATCACTAGTTAAACACTTTAGCTTATGGGCTTGATGTTTGATGATTTTGACTTTTCCTATTGATGATACGGAGTCGTGCATGCTATTAGTTTTATGCAATTTAATTAGTACAAAAAAGGCTTTCAACTTGTCTAGAAAACCAACTTCTTTCTTGAAAGCTATCTTTGGATACAAACGAGACTTCTAATCTGACCGTAACTATAGGTAATTGAGTTGGCTATTACTATACACACGTATGGATTCATCGTAATCATCATTATCTCCAATAATAAAAAAATAATGAAGCACTATATTACACTATATCTGACACCAATCACAAATTTCAGTTGGTGTTGTCTTTTCATATTCCCCTATTTCATTAAAAAGTTCTGCAAACATGCACATGATCGATTCATATATGACATCCAATTTCGATTTACATAAATTTAGTTTAAAAATAACAAACTAGATACTTTCTTTTTTAAAAAGATGACTCAGTGATTAATTGATGGATTTCTTTTTTTTTGTCATATGTGAGTCTATCATGATCTATCTTTTAATTTCATTACATGAAATAAATGATTGTCAATACCTTGATAATTATTTCATTTAATGGGCTACCGTTAGTAAACTCAACCTTCAAGTGACGGACAAAGTGATTATCTGTAGTTGGTCGACACATTTAAAAACACCTTCAAGCAATATTCTTTGAAAGTGTTTTATACACGCAAAATGTCGACTGGTACACCAATCTACTGTGCTATATTGTTGACGGGGATTTGTTTTTCTGTTACCAATAAGAGATCTAGTTCTTGAAGATGTCTTTAAGAAATCAGTTCTTTTGATGGTGGGAGAAATTCTGCGGCTATATCCTCTGTATCCAAATCCTACAAAATTAATGCACTGACACTCTCACCCGAAAAGAACTCCGGCGGCACAACAAAAGCAAAAACAAAAGGACAAGAAGGTTTACTTATTAGACTACAGGCATTCTTATCATTTTCGCTAAATAAAAAAAAGTAAATACTTCATTATCATTAAAAATTTCACAAAAATTAAAAAATGCAAACATTAGAACTAAATGTAATGATTATTACCTATCATTAAGTAAAGACCTGATAAGCATTATAAGTTTTTTTAACAAATAAATATAATAAAAGGAAAGTGAATAATCAAAAGATGCTACTAGCGCCGTTGTTAGTCCTCCATTTGGTCAAAATAATATAATCTATAAAGTAAGAGCCGTTGTATTAAATTCAAATCTATTTTTAAAACTTGCAACATTAGCAAACGCTGTGACATATTCCGCGAAAGATTATTTTTGGTGTATTTTACCATTTTTATTACAGTATTCCATTTATTTGAATCTTAAAATCGTATTGGAATACAAAAAATTGTGTTTGTGTAACGTTGTAATGACAGTTTACATTGTTTCATAAGACAACCTCTTTGAGTGTTATCTTTTAGAACTGTGGACAATGTATTCAGTTGCGCTTTGGAGCATGTCCAATGTAGTCAAATGGTTAACAGCAGTCAGTGAGAGCACTCCTGCGTCCGATGTTGTTTGTTTTGACTGCGAGCACTGAAGTAAACAGTGTGGTCGGGATATTTCATTGACGGATGATGATCGATTGAGAACTTACCAACTTTATAAAAATATTCTAGTCTTCTCTCTTCCATATACCCTCAAGTTTGGTGATTTACTGAATATTTGAATTAAAGACAGTTAGTGTGTGACTCGGACTGGTACTTAACGTGCAAAATGTTCAGCAAACATTATGAAACGAGGCTGGTGCAGCAATGCAGCCCTCTAAGCAAGAAACAGTGCCTAAGGTTTCCAGCAACACATACAAATGGAGATAGATTTACGCCGTGTCGTGCAGGGAACAACTGGCAGACAGCATTTCAAGGTAAGTCTTTATTAGACATCGTTTTTCAGTGGATATCAATTTTATTCAGTAGAAATGAACTTTTATGGTGAAATATGTGAACTCTATGATGGCCTAAAAAAGATATGATAAATCTTAAGGGCACTGAGGTTGAATTGTGTGAACTATCTATTTATATTATCTGTAATGTTTCACAATCCATGTTCTTGTAAGATATTTAATATTAATAACTGATCTCAATATTTAGTTGTATTAAAGATGTTTATGCTATTATTTGTAATATCTATGTTAACATATCTACGGCTAGCAATGTTTACAATGATACATGGTTAAAGTTTTATCAGAAATGCAACCTGACAATCAACATTAATTATTAATAGAAAATATGATTTTTTATTTTTTTAAGGGTATCATATACTATCAGTATTTACTAAATTGATCCCTAAAACATACTTCTTCCTCAACTCAACCTTCATTCCCTTGACCCGATGAGAGATCCTCCATAAGATGGTAATAAAAAAATATATGCATACTTTTTTCAACAATATATGATATATAAAAATTTACAATCACGATAGAAAAACAATTCAATTAATTAGTTAAATGTACTATATCTGTTTTCTTCTTTATAATTCACTAGCTGACCCGCGCAACTTCGTCTGCGTCTCTCAATAGTAATAAATTTTCTCCGTTTTTTAAACATTCTTCATTGGTGCTCCGCTCCTATTGGTCTTAGCGTGATGATATATAGCCTATAGCCTTCCTCGATAAATGGGCTATCTAACACTGAAAGAATTTTTCAAATCGGACCAGTAGTTCCTGAGATTAGCGCGTTCAAACAAACAAACAAACAAACAAACTCTTCAGCTTTATAATATTAGTATAGATAATATAATTAATTAATTAAGAAAGGGTAGTTTCAAAAACTGCAAGTAAAATTATATTTTTTATTTTTGTCTAGAAATGAATACACTCAATTTTGGAGAGTTTGAAATTTTTGTAAAAAATTTTTTGTTATTGGCTCACAAATTATTGTCTACACTCATGTGCGGCACCAGGATAGGTGTATGTTTTCTTTAAAATGCGAAAAGAGTTTTAAATATTAATAAACTATAGATTAATAACCTCACTAAAAAGCACCTTTCTTGGTTGTTTAGTAAAAAGCTGTTCAGATATTTTAGAGAATAAGGTTATCTGTTCACGGTTATCTGTAAGTGCATACCTTGCAGTATGTCTAATCACTAAACTGATTAGATAATGTAAAAGAACTACACTGCATGCATTAGGTATAGTGGTTTAAAAAGCTTTTTGAACTATACCTTGCTTAGTCATGATCAAGTAACACACAATAGGGATGTGTAAATAAGTATGACATTGAATTTCCTGCGTTTACAACTAGTAATTCAGGTCAGCGTCAATTGTACTACTTAGTGTGAACATCTGGCTGTGACTAGGTGTATATATGAGTAAATTTTAAACTATCACGTTCCATAATATGTGTGACCACGGCCAGTTGAACTGGTTGAAACTTCAGGCAATTCAAAGGCATGTACTTAATACCTATTGTGACCCTTGTGGCCCTATTAATGCCCTTTAACAAAATGAGGCGGTTTTCAGATTTCTTTTTTTTTAAGCACAGAACTCCGTTATTAATGACTAACTAATTTAATTGTTAATGCAATTTTTTTATCACACATTTAATTGCTTTAGTTGTATATATGAAAACGTGTCAATTTAAACCCTCTTCTAATTGTGTTGGAATGTCACTCTGTATGAAGTTCAGGTAACAATACTAGAGTATTCTCATCTGAATAACATATATTTGACATTTGTAACTGATCTTATGATCGAGCCAGGTTGTTGATAATTAAACTTTTATATTTATAAAATTCATTTTTTTTTAGTTTGACAAATTATAATCATAATCAAACATAGTCTGCAGGCTGTTTGCTATGTACTAGTACTTTTTTTTACAATATCTCTGTTAACTACGAGTTTAAGTCCAACTACCCTTAAAATTTTTGAAGTTTGTTTTTGTAAGTGAAGCAGAAAAATGGCATTCCATAATAACCAAAATTTGACAAAAAATCTCGCAATGCAGTTTTTCTCCTTACTTCTAATTAGTTAATTAACAAAATTTTAGTGACCCTATTAACATTGATACATAAGTTAAGTTAATTTTCTGTTAATCTGTGTGATGATCGGATCCACTCTCTTTAAGGTCTTTCCCCTCCTCTTTCACTCTCGGTCTTTCCCCTCCTCTTTCACTCTCAGTCTCGGATTTCTGGTGTGATACAGGAGGTTTTATACCCAGGCCACTTAAAGTTTGTTTTTTATGTATCATACCCATGTTATTTTTTTCTTAATTTTGCTCTGCTCTATATATATTTAGATTACTCTGTGTTCCATGGCTTTTTGACAAGTGGTTCTATGTTGTTTTACTATTTAGTAACAGATTGAACCTTTTAAAAAAAAAAAAAAGTACTTGATACTGTCACCTTTAAAATTATAAAGTTGAGACCACCTTTTAAAAAAAAACTTCTACAGTGGCAAATTACTGATTTACTCATGTCGGAATTTTGCTATTGCAACGTTTAGTCTCCGCTCATCCGTTTCTTAGCATTGCTACTTCAAGTGCCTCCTATAAATAACGTAATAATTCAAATTTATTATGCTTGTCTACTTACATCCAGTAATAACAATGGCCATTACTTTCGGTCTAGGCAAAAAACCATAGCTAAATTTGGTCACGCTTCAGGGTCTTACGATGTGAACAACCTGCTCACAGGTTTGCCAAGGTCAAAATTGGTTTCTAGGAAGTAAAGAAGAAAGATTTCGTAAGTGGTTGTGAATGTTCTACATGTCTTCTGTAGTACTGTCGGGATTGTTTGTTAGCTTCTGGAGGGAAGCGCTTGATTTATTATAAGAGTAGAGAAGGTAAAATGGCCGCGTCGAAGAATATAAAAAAAAACAACGAAAATCGCAATGGTAGTTAAAGAATTCCGAAATAGAGATCTTTTGGAAAGGGCTGTTACAATTACAACAGTAGTAATGACTCTTCAGAGTTATCTGTTCTCTTTTCTTCCTAGTAGCAGGAATTGCACCTCTATTTGCGTCACTTATATTCATAAAACTTGGACCATGTTAAAACGTCGGATGTGTCGGCAACCCAACTGAAGGAATCGATCTAATGTCATTGATAATTGCCTATTTCTAGACTTTCTTCTCTGCCATACATATACTGCTTATATGCATAGTTTCTTGACTAATCATAGCTGTAGTTCCACTCGCTCTTTATTATTTTCTAGGTATCAATAGGATGCATGGGAATTGAGATCTTGAAATCTTAAGTAGTTTTTTTTATGGAAGTCACCTGAAGGAAAGCAATGAAAACGATTTTATGATTCCTTATGTAGTTGCAGCGGCTACTAAACTCGTATTAGGAGAATAGTAATCAAAGCTATGATTCAGCACATATGGCTCTATCAGAGTCATACTACGACTTCATATAAAATCAGTATTAAGCAATTTTTTCGTAAGCCTAAGCCGCGTAAAGCCTACCGCCGTAGGGAGTAATCAGTGGTTGCTGTTCACTGAGTGAGTAAGGTAACCAGAAGGGGAGAGATTGAAAGGGCAACAACGCACTTGTGTCTGCACTTTGTGTGTCCATTGATAGCAATAGTCATTGAGCATCTGTTACCTGTCTGTTCGTTTGCCTCCAATGCCATAGACAAAGAAACTAGTTAGAAATTTATAATAAGTTATATAAATCTCTAATTAGTTTGACATTAGTATGCCAATAAAGTTCTGTTTGCCTTGAACGTTTGGTTACTTTACAAGCGTGTAAGATTACAACAGCATGGCCCTATAAAAAAATATGTAGGTATTAGGTATTGCAATTTGTCACAAATTATTGACGCTCTTCGTGTTATATCGCAACGGACACAAAGGTATTTTTGTTTTGCTTGATGTTATGACTACAATTTTGACTTTGACTTGTAAGGTGTAATTTAAAAGCAAAGTCAATACTGAATGCAAATGTACGGTGCATTTGCAAACTTATAAACACTATTGCTTGTTATTGCATCCGTTGCCGATCAGGGCTGCCACTAAAGCAAATTTATGTTATACCTACTAAAAGAGTACAAAATCAAATCCAAGTATACAAGACGCAGTGTTGTTAAAAGTTAGAGGATTAAAACTAAGGAATATTAACTGTGATTTGGGTTGTCAGCTTACTCTACTAAGCGTCGAACATAGTGTCATAATTTATATTTCTTACATGAACAAAGTTAAGTCAAAATAATAAAATAAATTCTCAAGAAATATAAAAATAGAGCAGTAAATAGATACAGAACTGTTGCCTGTGGTTACCCTAAAATGATACAGGCCTGAGTTAACAGGACGATTGTGCGAGGACTAACGATTCTATCGGGATATTTAAGATACAATTTGGTAGCCCTGCGGCTGTTAACATTTACTGACGTCCCAGTGTTTGTTTAAAACGAGGTTTGACCTTACGATTCCATTTATTTTAAATTTATTAACTACTACCATGTTACAATATAAATAGCTTTATTAAATCCAACACCATGCTCGTGTTAGCCTGTTAAAATTTACTATACTCTCTATCTTTTGTCATTCGACGTTAACTTCTGAACATTGATTTTCACAACGAGCTTTCTTAAATCGTCCCAATTCAGTAAGTATCTAAAACTAAGCCTGTTCGTTATTTTTGTGTTGTAATAACTGTTTTTAAGTTTTTCGTGTAGGTACAGAACACAGTTTTACTGGACTGAGGCATATTAAACAGACACTTTTTACCAACTATAGTTTTAATCTACTTACGTAATAGAAGCAAGCCAACTGCTGACGACCTTGCACTTTAGGGATAAAATCTTTCTTCTTTTCTTTCTTATCTACCTTTCCTTTCTATATACTCCCAACATGGAAATGAAAGGTAATAGAAAGAAAGGTAACAGGAATATTAAAAATGTAAGCAATAACTTGAATAGGTCAGG